CTGGCCATTGCTGATGTTCAACATATACCAGTAGGAGGTGTCAACGCGCAAAACCTCTTCATCACTACGCACATTCAACACAAGTTCACTCAACGTTTCACTTTTTCCACTCGGATTCTGCATATGATTTCCTCCAATTTGCCGCAATATTATTTCCAAATATCGTGTTATTCCGCGTTTCACGACACCCGAGCTTGACGATGTCTGAATAACGAAAGCTGGAGAAATTACAAGAGGCGGTCCGGAGCTTATCACCGAAGCTGGAAGAGGCCATAACGTGTTTGAAACAGCATCAGGTGTAGGAATTCTTTCGGACAGTTGATCACTCGATCGTTTCAAGGAAGCGCACAAAGGTCCAACTATAGACAAAAACAGCACACTGACGAGCAACATGATGAGAAAAGTGGTCAGATGGATATAAGATGAGTTCTTGGCAAACATAACATTCAGGAAAGTTCTGATGTGTATGTGACAACTTGTCAAAAATGAGATCTAAAATCGGAAGTGTTCGTCATTGGATCGGAGTTGGTCGGATTGGATCCGATATCCTACATTGCTAGGCTACCAAGCCTAGAAGGCTCGGCTACCTCCGAAGTCTGACTGTACATTCATCAAACATCTTGTAATAAAACGCTCTGTGGAGGTTAGAATAGTTTGAAAGACGTATTCGCTACAATGACCATCCAGTGGACTCTCGCTGCTGGCTTTCTGTACACTGAGATCAGTGTTCTTTTGTTGTTCTGTCTACCTTTTATTTCGGCCAAAAGGTAAGGTTTTTGAATAGGGAGAATCTGAAAACTTGCAGCTCAAGTCGATCGAGCGTCACATGGATTTACGCTGGTTTTGCCCTGTTTCCTTTTCTCCCCGAGTAACTTCGACCCGTGTCAACTTCAAGTTCGCTTTATCATATGTGTATTTTTATGTCTAACTTACATTTTATGTGCTTTTATATTTGTATTCATGCAACAAATTTATATTTAAAGGTATTTACGGAAAGATACGGAGACAAGAATTGTGTAGATTTTGTGCAATATAGACAATTTTTCGAACGTATCTTTATGTTCATGTACATGTGCCAAGGATGTGCATAATATTTTTTGTGTTTTGCTTAAACGTAATGCTTTGATAATGCTTTATTATATATGTTTGTGATATCTTTGAATTTATTTATTATGTATTAGTCATATGGCGGGTCGAAATTGAATTTGATGCGGGGCGAAGTTACTGGATCGAAAATGAAATGGGGCGAAACTGGCGGATACCGTCACATGAAAGATAACATTAATACAGAGCTTCCACCTTGGCGTTGATCATTGCAATGAATGATTAATACTTTTGCATTTTGTATTTTAGATGGAATCAACTTTTTAACTCCAGGTTCGTGGCTGCTTTGTTTGCGTATGGAAATTTCTACTTCAACGTCATTGCGTTAGTGATGGCTCTACTTTTACTAGGTAACACATTTAATTTTGACGTGTAAATGATTCGTGCTATGTTAATAGCACATTTAAAAAACTAGCCAGCGTTTAAACGATCCATACTACACTCTGCCATCTGTGTTGAACAAGATTAGCCTATAAAGAGACTATGCTATGCTATCAAAATCTAATTTTATATAGTTCCATGCCAAAGTCTGCATTTGTCATCATACAGTATGTATTTCTGTCATGCTTCCAGGATGTGGCCAAAGTGAAAGAGGAATTGTTCAGTAGCTTTCCTTGATCAAAGAAAACCAACTAGTGAAAAGCCAAGAAAAAAATGTCACTTGTCATTCCTGAGTCACATGTATTGCAAATTTTGGGAATCTTTTAAGCTAATCTTGCCTTCAACGCATAAGTTTATCTTGATGTTGAGTCATCCTTACTATTTATAGTGAAGATGTACCTTGATTGAAATGTTAATTGGATTTTCACACATGATGCAATCATCAACAGACCAGAAACAATCATCAACCTATTTAGAAAGACTGCAGTAAATTTCACAACAAATTGTCAGATATTTTCCATAAGTGGGTATTATGCAATCCTGTTTGTAGACCACCACCCAACCAATGTTTCCAGTTGATTTGAGATTCAATTGTCCAACCATACTTATGACTATTATCAATAAAGTATCAGAAAAACCATTGTGTTACTTTCTATTTCTAATCCAAATTTTCCCATGAAATGCTATTTTGAAGAAATTTTTGGTTATGTGGTATTGAAACTGAAGTGTAGACATTGATGTATGTCTCAAGTGGCTACAGGACTTTCTCGCCCTTAAAGATGGAATCCCATAGCCTTTGTATGTAAACTGAATTTACTCTAATCATGGCTGGCTGGTACTTTTTAGCATGTCATTCTGAAAATGTGAAAGCTAACCCTTAACCCCTAAGAGTCTTTGGCTTCTAATTTCTCCTTCAGTATCACCCTTGAATCAATTATAAAGGTCATGAGAATAAAGGAAATGATCTCCAGCTCAAGAAGCTCCAGATTGTTAAACAAATTCTCCTTGTCGGTACCACAGGAAAATTAAGGAGAACAGTGGGGAGAATATGAAAACTAATTTTACCAGAGTTTAATTTTATTTATCCAATTTAAGGTTAATGTTATTTCCTAATCTCAGTGTGATAGACAGCCAACAGAAACCATTAACCAAAAAAAGTGTTGAAACCATCAAAATTAGTCTTGCATTTTCATGAATTTACTATTTTTTAGATTCAATTCGGGAATCCAGAAAGTACAGCAAGATGGAGTCCACTGCACAAGTGGACTTGCACAACAATCCTCAGGCAGAAATCATGGCTCAGATGAAATTGTTTCGTGCACAGCGTAATCTGTACATTTCTGGATTTTCCCTGTTTCTTTTGATGTAAGATATGTTATTAAGTATTAACCTTAAAACCGATAGAAATGATTGCAACAGAACTTCTCCTTACCATATCACCATATTATCCAGTAAATAGGAAATGAGAGTAGAGGAAAGTATCAGCTACAGTAGGTGGTTATTTTCTTGCAAGAGCACAAGATTCTTTTGACTAAGTTTTAATGAAAATTGAAAGGTCAGAATGGTTACTGCTTATTGCATCTTTGGAGTTAAAGAGTTTTATGATTGCTTTTGAAAAAACATGAGTCCCAAGCAATAGGTATGTTGAGAAGAATTTAACTTGAGTTTGAGTCTAAAACTCTGCCTTGGATATCATGGTTGAAAGTTTATATATCAAGATAGGAATGCTGAACTATAAATGGTAAGTACTGCAAGGAAAAATTAAAGAATTTAACATCACTTACCTGAAAATTATTAGTCTACAAGATAATACTTTTTTATCATGGAAAAGTAAGGAAATTTTGGAAATCAATTTCTGTGGTAATTATAAATTTTAACCTTGTTACCCTTCACAGAGTGCTACGTCGTGTTGGAAAGCTTCTCTCCAAAAATTCTGTTCTTGAAGCTTCCAATGAAGCCAGTCTGCGTCAAGCACAAAATGTGTCTCAGCAGTGCGAAAAGTTGATGGACGAAAATAATGAACTTAAAAAGGTAATGTTGAAAGGTATGTGCAAGGTGGGTCTTGTGTGTCGTATAGCAATCTAGCAAAGAAAAATTGATAACCATGTTTTGTGTATAAAAGAAAGAGCCTCATGAAAACTTCAAGAACTGCTGAGCTCCTTTGAAAGCACTGAAAAAAGGTGGGAACATATTTGCCCTAAATCTTTCAATTGTGGTTTTATTAGACAGGACTAATCAAGCAGAAGAATTTTGTGCAGAGATGAAATCACTTTGAAATCATCTTGGAAGAACATGTTTTGATGTCTCCTTCACAAATCATACTCAATACAAGGTTTTAAACTGTATGCAAAAGTTTTAGTGACACATGGCTCAGAATGCATCCTTGGAGGGCTTAGCTCTCAGGAAATAGAGACCCACTGGGGAGGGGAGGTACTTTTGAGCCGTGACATAGATTTTGTAGAAAAAGATATGTTTCTTTCATTTGTTTATAATTGTTAAATCTCTCTTAAAAAGGCCATAGAAGGCACAGATGGAAAAACAGAGACAAAGACAGAGACAAAAGATGAAGATAAAATGAACCAAGAGCTGAAAGAATTGAGAGAAGCCTTGGAAGATAAATCCAAGAAGCTTTCAGAACGATCTGAAGGTGCTGCTAAGTATGACACTTTTTAACAAGGGGGAGAGGGGAGGGGAGGGGAGGGGAGGTCAAATTGTCTTTAACCCTTTAGCCCTTTCACTCCTATGAGTGACCAAGCTAGAATTTCTCCTTACAATATCAAGACAATATTAAGAAGATAAGTAAGGAGAATGAAGGAAAATATCAATCAGGGGATCATTGGTTGATCCAAACCCAAATTCTCCCAACTTATATCATAAGAATTGTATGGGAGACAGAAAGGAGAATTACTTATGAGATCTTGGGAGTGAAAGGGTTTTAAAGGCTTTTTTTTTCATGTCTCATTGCCTTTCTGCACTTAAATGTTTAAATACCTTAAGCAGAAATTTGACTGTTTAATGGTTGCTCCAGGGAGGTGAACTTCTCCTTACAATTTCTAAACATCACCCAGTGGAGTGGTAATGAGAAGACACAACCAATCAGTTGGAGGGTTCAATATGAAAACAATCCTCACAGTCATGGATACTACTTAACTAGCAGTGAAAATAAGGCCTGAAAAAAATTCAGGCCAGTACAGGATTTGACCCATGACCTCTGCGATACTGGTAGCACTCTACCAACTGAGCTAACAAGCCAACTAGGAGCTGGTCATTATGTTCTCAAGTTCCTTACTTTTCACTACTGGTTAAGTAGTATTTATAACTGCAAGGATCATTTTCATTTTTGTTTCTTCGACCACAGTTCACATATATATGATTTTCATATATTTGCAGCCATTTATTCAGTTGAAGGGTGTTATCATGATATGCTATCAAATAATTTTCAAGGAACTGTGTACTCAAGCAGCTAGAAGGAAGCCCCCAAATATCAGTATGCATTTTCTCAGTACTGTTCTCTGC